GACTCCAGAGCCCAGAGGCCGGACTCCTCCTCCCGCACCGCCGGAGAGGCGGGCAGCGCGCCTTTCAATGACCTTCAGGCCTCTCTTCGTTGCTTAAGTGCGAGGAGCGAGCGTGCAGATTCTGAGATAACCAGTTCAGAATTTCTCTCTTCAGGGATTGTCCAGAAAAACGGTCCAAATGTGAAAATAAGGCAGGGGGGGTGGCGGGGGCGGGGGGGTCGTGTCCCCGGCGTGGACCATTGGCTGGTCGCTAAACCCAGACCCAGGAGAGCTGCAGCTGCCTGTGGATTTCTGTTCCTTAGGAAAACAACCACGAAGGCTGGGCTCTGGGTCCCAGGGAGGCCATTGGCCAATTTGTGTCTGACAAACCGTCCAGCGGTCGCGTTCACATTATAAATGCCAGCGAAGTCCGCATGCGCTCTTTGAACCACCTTCCCTACCTGCCGGCTGCTCAGTGCTGAGCTACATACATGTTTGTGTGAGAGACGCGGGTTTGACTTTGGGAGCGAACACCGACATGGAGGAGGACGGGCCCGCGCCATGCATCCACCGAAGTCCTTTTTTCCCCGCGATCGGAGTTCCCCGTGGGCTGCCGCCCGCCACGGAACGGGGTGGCGGGGCTTCTGAATAAGGTTGGACACGCTGTTCACGCTGCTCTTCTGTGTTGCTGCTCAGACCAGTCGGAGACATTCTGTAGCCCGGGGTGTTGTGGGAGCCCCGGTCACAGCCACTGGTCTCTGCTCTCAGGCCTGGAAAGGGGACAAGGAAAACCTCTCTCCTTGGAACCAGAAGGTTCCTTCATCCCTCGAGCAGGTGGAGCTTGTGACATGTCCTAAATTCTTGACTTTAAATCACATTTCTTACTGTTTTCTCACCCTAAACCCAACCCTAGCCCTAACCCTAACCCTTATATAGACCGGACTAATTAACGCTCCTCAAGATTCCTGGTGTGCAGTGTCTTTTTAAAATATATTTTATTGATTTTTTACAAAGAGGAAGGGAGAGGGATAGAGAGTTAGAAACATCGATGAGAGAGAAACATCGATCAGGTGCCTCCTACACACCTACACACCTCCTACTGGGGATGTGCCTGCTACCAAAGTCCCTGCCCCTGGCCCCTGATTCGTCAGTCCATATGCAAATATGGGCTCTAAATCCTCACAGTTTGATTGGTCCAAAAGGACTGTCTTGATTGGTCAGAATGGAGCTGCTCTGATTGGTCGATGAAGATGTTGATGAGGATATAGCTCTGCAGCTCTGATTGGATGGGGGAAGCCTCAGTTCCATTTGCAACACAGAAGAGCAAAATCCACCTGTTTTCAGAAGCCCAGCTCCTCTAGAAGGGCTG